CAGACGGAGATGCGGCTGCAGGACCAGCAGCTGGCCCGGCAGCTCATGCGCCTGCGCGGCGACATCAACAAGCTGAAGATCGAGCACACCTGCCGCCTTCACCGGCGGATGCTCAATGATGCCACCTACGAGCTGGAGGAGCGGGACGAGCTGGCCGACCTCGTCTGCGACTCCCCGCTGGCCTCCTCCTTCAGCCTCTCCACGCCGCTCAAGCTCATCGGGGTCACCAAGATGAACATCAACTCCCGGAGGTTCTCCCTCTGCTGAGAAGCCCTCGGGAGGGTCAGCGTGGCTGGGGTGGGCGCCGGGGCCGGAAGGAGGGGCCTGAGGCCGAGTCGCTCGGTGGCCAGGCTCCCTGCGGGGTGACTCGAGGGCCCCAGGACCTGTGAGCGGTGCTCCTGGCCAGGGACCCCAGTTCTTGCTGCGTACCCAAAGGGTCCTGCGGAAGGGCGCCCCCCACCCCAGGTCGGACGAGAGCTGGGCTCCCGGCGTGATCCGGCCCTCAGCGACCACATTCCCGTTTCCCGGAATCTCTGGTGCTAAGAACTGGGATTCCCGAGGGTCCCAAAGCTGTCATTCTTGCAGAAGGCTCTCCCCCAAGGGCCCCGGGGAGATTTGATGATGAGATGAGCCCGTCTCCCGGGCTGTCGCCATCCTCCCTGTACTCCCTCGAATTCGCCCTACTTGCCTCAGCAACCTTGGCAGGGACCCGCCAGAGAGGACGATCAAGAGGAACAACAACGTGGACTTGGGGACGCAGCCTCCATGGCCAGCAGCCAGTGCCCCGGGTGAGCCCACAGTCCAGGCTGCCACCGGTCTCCCTCCTTGGTACCACGAGGCCACGTAGACCGTTTCCAGCTTGTGCCAGACAGGCGATGGGTGCACACTCCCGTGAGTTAAGTGCAGCAAGCGGAGGCGCTCCTGCTGTCTCTCCAGCCACACGCACCCATCTCAGTCTCAAGAGAGCCCCTTCACCGCCACGCACAGCCCAGGGGTACAGCCTAGGAGGCCTCCAGTGACGGAACCAGGCAGGTCTTGAGTGCATTTTCCCACAACTGGATTCTGGAGGGAGTGCCACAGAGGCCTCCTGGTGGATTCTGATGGTGTCACCTAAGTCACCTTATTGCCCTCCCCAGAAAGACAATCGAGGGACCCCAGAGCCCATCCCGAGCCGCCTCTTAGATGCTGTGCCTGACCCATACAACTAGCTCTCATCAAATGAGACTGTTACTAATGTGTTGCTCACTTGTTAATAACTGATAGTTGTCCAAATGGAGAAGCCAGTTGGGTAGGTCAAGAACAGAGTTTAGGACTTGATCTTAAGTTTCTCCTGGCTGGGCACAGTGGCTCAAGCCTGTCATTCCAGCACTTTGGGAGGCCGAAGAGAGAGGGTTGCCTGAGTCCATGGGTTCGAGACCGGTCTGGGCACTTGGTGAGACCTCGACTCTACAAAAAAAAAAAAAAAAAAAAATTAGCCGAGCATAGTAGTGCATGCCTGTAGTTCCAGCTACTTGGAAGGCTGAGGCAGAAGGATCACCTGAGCCCAGCAGGTCGAGGCTGCCGTGGCTGTGAGTGTGCCACTGCACTCCAACCTGGGTGACAGAGTAAGACTCTTACTCAAAAAAAACCCAGAATTTATCCCTAACAAGTGTGAGGATCCACAAGTTGAGACCACGACAGTTTAGGGAAGTCAATTTAAAATAACACCAGGCAGGGCTTCCTCCGCCACCTGGTGGAATCCTAAGATCAGAAAGGATTTTTGACTTTTGATGTCACCTTCTTGAACGTTTTTATGAGTCATAAGGCACAATGAAGCCTGCAGAAGGAGAAGGGCTTTCCTCGGGCTACACAGTTGCTTACTGACCATAGAATATTGATGTGTGAAACCATTGTTAATCATGCCTAGTAGATCACATGTCAATGAACTTGGACCCCAAAGATGGCCTTGATGCTTTGCCAAACCCACACACTGCCAACCCTTCTACTGTGCACCTCTCTCAGTCCCACCCAAACCCCTCACGTTGCAATTCAGAATACCTGAGTCAATGAGAGGGCAAACCCTGGACAGCCGACCCACAGGGCGTGTGTTCCTAATCACTGTCCCATGGTCTATGTGCCCTGTCTGGCCGTTCTATCTGTCCTGTGTCTTCTTCCTCTATAATCTCCTTGTAGCCCGTCCACATACATTCTATGACCCACAGAGAGGAGAGGTTGCTTTTCTTTTGTGGGCTGAGAGTGGGAAGATGCAAATGAATGATCCCTAGTAGACAGAAAAGAACTCGGTCTCTTCCTTGTAATGTCAAAGAACTGGAGGGTTATTGCTTCCTTCAAAGACATAGAACAGAGTTAAGATGGGTGTCTGCCCTATTCTGTGCCACAAAGTCTGAGACTCCGAGGGCCATACACCCCTGTCTTCCTGCCAAGCACTGCCAAGTCCTGAGGAGACATCCCTCTCCTCCCAGCCTTCTTCCAGGCCAGCCCCTGAGGCCTTGGGTGACCTGCACACACGCACCTACTCTTGCCACCGGGAACATGCCATAAGTGTCCTCAAACCCGTGCAGGGACGCCCATCCCATATTCTGGAAAAAAAAAGCCAGACTGGATTTTTTTTCTTTTTTGGAATCAGTCATTCAGTAAGTGAAACAATTGGATTCAACTAAAGCTAAGAGATGTCATTGAATGTAGGCAACACAGTGGAATTGGACACAGCTGAGCAATTGAGGGGCCCAGGTAACCCAAAGATTCCCTTTTTCGTTCTCTGAGAGGAGACTAAGATCAAGATACATGTTTGGAGGTGGGTCAGATGTCTCCGCCATTTTGCTCAGTACATCCCGAGAGGATTTTCCTTGAGGATGAGGAGAGGAAGGAGGAGACCAGAGAAGGGAAGTGGAGGGGGAGACAGCTGTGTTTCCCAAGCATCATCCAGTGTCAGCTCCCTTCCACAGTGGATACAACTGACCGAATAAATCTAGCTGGGTGAGGCCTCCATTCTGTCTCTGGGGCAGCCTCAATGGTGGCCTGTGCGCCATGCCACCTTTCCGACTCGCTGAAAAACGCTCTTTGCAGTTCACTCACGCACCATGCTCCTCTCCGCCATCCCTCAGGCACCCCCCAGCCCTGCCACGCGTGGTCATGCCTGATGCCTTCGTGGGCCCAGTAGCCATCACAGAGGCCTGGAGGGCCTGGGCAGGCCTGACCATGCCTGACCGAGCCCAAGACCTACCCCCGTAGCAATACCAAGTGCTATTACATCATTGATGGACAATTTATAATTTTATTTTTTATGATTATTTGTTTCTATATTGCTGTTAGAAACGGCGAAATAAAAAGACTTCAAAAGAAGATAGCCACACCAAGAAGAGAAATTGACTTCCTCTCATTTTAGGTTATCCCTGTGACAGCACACACAGGGTCCTTGTTCCTTGACCAGCACTTAATTGAAAGAAAGAATGGATGGGTAGACGGACAGATGGAAGGGTGGAGAGAAGGGAGGGAGGAGGGAAGGAAGGAAGGATGGATGGATGCATGGATGGACAGACGGACGGATTCGGGACTTTTGCAGCCAGATAGAGGCATGGGAGGACAGAAAGCTTTCACCCCAGTCACTCCTCTCCCATTTATGGTGCCTTCCCGAGGAAGCTTCTTGGTGGTGGTCACTGTGAGGAGTTTCACAGGGAATGTTCCATGAGCTGAAGATGTGAGTTCGGAGACGGGGCCACTGTTCCCCAAACTGGCCAGAGCCAGAGGAAATCCAACCTCTTCCAGCAGCATTTTCCAACAGATATCATCATACTCTGAGGAGAAGTTGCGCCTTACACGTTTTCAGCCGCTTAGAGCACCTCTTAAGCCCCCAAACGGAACATGTATGAGGACTGCCTGAGGTGCTGTGGCAAATGCATTTCCCTGGGAAAAGCACCCGGTTCCACCCGCAGGGATTCTGGCTGCGTAGACCCAAAGCAGGGCCTGGGAATCTGTTCTTAAATGCCCAGTTTGTCCAAAGATACCTTGAGAGCCCCTCCAGAGACAAAGCAACCAAGGGAAGGCATTGATTTGAATCAATCCTGTCTCTGTGTCCTCGGGAAGGGCCGGTGTCAGAGGGTCACAGCGGGTGTTGGTCATCCCATTTTTACAAAGAACAGCTGAACAATTCCAGCTCCCCGGCAATCCCTTGAGGTTATACCCCCTGTCTCCGCCAAAGGGGAGGGGTGATTGTGATCTCTTTCGCACTCGGCATGACCGTGGGGAGCAGCGGGTGTGAGGTGGGGGTGAGGCAGACACTTGGGCATCCGCCATCACTCTTGAGCATGTGGTTCAAATGCCGCTCGTGAAGCCCAGGCCTTTCCACCCCTGCGGACGGGACCCCGCATGCAAGGGGGACCCAAAAGCCAGCAACTGTCTTTGGGAGGGCAGCCCCTTGTAGTCCAGGCTCCCCTTCTAGGTGCGTGTGGTCAGCATCAGCGTACCCGCTAGCATTGCTGCGAGAAACTATTGCATCTGACTTCAGTGAACTTTTTCGGAAGATCCAAAACGTGTGCATGGTGGGTATTTTGCAAGCACACCTGCCCACATTGTGCTGAGTGTGCAGCAGTTTTTGAGTGAAAACAGCATGACGCCCGTACCCCACCCTCCCTATTCACCTGACCTCTCCCTGAGCCATTTTCTGTTTGTTTGTTTCCCTGGATGAAAAAAAGTCCTCAAAGGGAAATGTTTGCCCATGTGGAAGAGACGAAACAGAAAACAGCAGAAGCACCCAAAGGTATCAAAATCGAGAGCTGAAAAACTGTTGTGAGCATCTCGATAGGCGTATTGCAGCAAACGGAGAGTACTTTGAAGGTGATCGAAGTTTAAACGTATAAGAATAAATGCACAATTTTTTATATATAAAGTCCAGGTTTCTGGGGAGTCCTCCCTTGTACACCTTTTCGGCCCAGAGGGAAACTAGTGTGACCTCCAAACAAATCCAATAACCATCACTGCCACAGAGGATGAGGGGTGGCGTCAGAGTGTGAACGGGGCTGTTTGACCGATGGTCAGGGCTTCCTGTAGACTGCACCATCCCAACTGCAACCACAGCCATGCAAACATCAGGAAAAGAGTGCTCCAGGCAGAACACCAAGGCCCCAGACCCTGAGGTCTGCAGGGGAGGCTGGCACAACAGGGGCTGCGGGAACAGGCAGGCTGGCTCTCCAGCAGTGTCGGTTGGAGTGAGGAGTTGGGGTTTCGTTTGGACTGGGCAACGTTTTTGGAAGATAGATGATCTGATTTCA